CCCATGGCTGTGTAACCCACTGTCTATACTGCACACATATACTGTGTATTGATGGATTAACACTGCCTGTGAGTAAAGTAAAAAATAATAAACCAAAGACAAGCATGATCCTGCAATTCAAACTTAGTGCTAGGAAAACAGTTGCAGTAGAGGTTAAACATGCATGGCTGTATGTGTGTATCTATGATTGTATCTTATAATGTGTATGGATGTTTGTATCTGTGGGTATCTACATGCATGTATCTGTGACTGTGTTTCTAGGAATGTGTGTTTGTATGCTAGTATCTGTGAATTTCTGACAATATGTGTCTCTGTTAGTGCTTATTTAGGAGTGTGTGTTTGTGTCTGTATTTGTGGATCTGTTAAAGTATATCTAGGAGTGTGTCTCTATGTGTGCAGCTGTATTTGTATCTGTCTGTATAACCGCGTTTATGGACACTCGTGGCACCATAACTATTACAGTGGCTGCTTGGAGTGTTCTGTTAAATTCCATTATACCTGTAGATTGTTAGTACTTCCGATAATATTAATCATGACAAGCACAATGTCATAAAGTGACAGAATCCCAATCTTTATGTTTTCTGAAAATTGCACATTGTTTTAGTATCAACAGAAACTTGATGGTATGCGCTTGACCCAATCCAGGCTAACAAGGCATTTACTCTGGACGGCACTTTTCAGGGGACTGATAAAAAAACCCCTCTGGGTCGAATGCCCCTGCAACTTTAACAAATGTCTTGTTAGCCTTGTCTAATGGGGGGAACAAAAGCTGGTTGCCTGGCCACCTTAAGGTCTCCCCAAAACAGGTGGCTGTGCGGAATGGAGGCGGGCAGCAAGAGAGCTATAATCTTCCTGCTCTTCTTGCTCTGCTCCCTCGCGCGCTCTGCTCTAATGCCATGTTTCAGCTCTTGCCAGTGGATTAGAGGCAAGTTAAAGCTTTCTTAGGGCACTGTGGTGGTGGTGGTGGTGGTGGGAATAAACCAATTGGCATATTAAACATTCCAGCATTTTAAATAAAGTTTTTTTATGTATACTGTTTTACTGTTTCTTAAAATTTAGAAACCGAATTTTACATTTCTTTATGTACACAGTCAATTGTAAATTTGATTACTTTTTATTCACTTTTTTATTTATTTATTAAACTGTAGTCATAGTAATATATGATAAAAAGCATATATATATATATATTCCTGATATGGGTTACCATCTCCAAAGACATGTTTTATATCCCAAACAATATTGTTAAAATGGCTATAAAGACAATATATACTCCAGCCTCCTTAAACACTTCTGCTTTTAGAAGTTGCTATAGAGAAAGGAATCTGTATGTGCAGAGTTTCAGCTTGACAGACAGGGTGTGGAAATACTTGAGCAAAACTTACCAAACGGTGGTTTCAAGGTGACTAGTGCCTAATAGGGCATTATAAGTTAAAATATATATATATTGAAAAGAGGTTGATAGAACACTGCTGTTTGGTCCTGGCCCTAATAATTAACTCTTTTCTCCTTCTTTGACTATCTCCACTTGATTGCACCAGTATAATTAATGACCTGCAATAATGATTTGACAGTGTTTTCCACCTGTATAGACTGAATTAACAATGTATTTTTTTTAGCATTAAATGCATTAACCCCTTCAATACCAAAATCGTGTATAAACACTTTTGTTTTCATATATTCAGTATTAAACCATGCAGTGGAGTACACACAACCCATGGGGCCCCGGTGCGAAAACTCATCCGTGGGCCCCCCTGCGCTTACTCTGCGCGGGCCTGGGCCGCAACACATGGCGGCGAGCACATGGTCGCAGGGGTCGCAGGGCTGCAACCCCTGCGACTGCGGTATGTACGCCAGTGCATGCAGATACTCATACACTTAAAGGACCACTACAAACACGCAGATCACATCAGCTCAATGAAGTGGTATGGGTGCCAGGTCCCCCTCTAGTTTTAACCCTGTAGCTGAAAACATAGCAGTTTCAGAGAAACTGCAATGTTTCACTGAGGGTTAATGCAGCCTCTAGTGGCTGTCTCATTGACAGCCGCTAGAGGAGCTTCTGCGATTCTCACTGTGAAAATCACAGTGAGAAGACGCTGAACGTCCATAGGAAAGCATTGAGTAATGCTGTCCTATGGGCGGTTTGAATGCGCGCGCTGCTCTTGCCGCGTATGCGCATTCGGAGCTGAGAGGCGGATCAGGCGGAGGGATCCCCAGCGCCAAAGTGCTAAGGACCCACACACTCTCATGAACAGACGCATACACACTAGCTAGCAGACACATGCACACACTCTCACGAACAGACGCATACACACTAGCTAACAGACACACACATTTACTGACAGACACACACTCTGTGACAGACATACATACACACTCACTGACAGACAGACACATACACACTCACTTACAAAACACACACTCACTAACAGACACCAAACAGACTCACTAACAGATGCACACAAACACACACACACAGTAACACACTCAATGACACACACAAACTAACACACACACTCACACAAAAACTAACACTAACACACACTCTAACACTTACACGCACACTCTAACACACACACACACACTCCAACACTAACTCACACACACACTAACACACACTATAACACACACACACACACACTCTAAGACACACACACTCTAACGCTAACACACACACTAACACACACACTAACACACACACTAACACACTAATACACACCTACACACGTTTTTTTAAAAATTTAATCCCCCAGCCTTCCTACCTTTTGGGAGTGCTGAGGGGATTCCCTGGGGTCCAGTGGTGTTGCTGGGCGGCCGGTCACTGGGCAGGCTGGCGGGCGCGCGAGAGAGCACTCTCCCCTGAGTGCTCCCTCTTCAGTTCCCTCGCGCGCCCGCCAGCCTATCTGCCGGGTGACACCAGGGCCAGCCTCGGGGGACAGCCTCGGGGCCACACTGGGTACATACCGGGATGCAGGTCGGCCGGGCCCCCTGGTGGGCCGGGCCCGGTCGCAGCCGCGACTCCTGCGACCCCAGTATGTACGCCACTGAAACCATGTCCATAAAGCCTCATTCACCCTCCTTATACTCTAGTTATGGAGAGGAACACATTTCTCTGACAGAAGCCAATATTCACTGATATAATGCTTGAACATTTGCCAAAAATGTCTGCTCGCCCCCTGCTTTCAAACAGTACAGAAAGTTTCAGTGGATCATCTGATTTTTGCAGTCAGGAAGGGGGGAGAAGTGAGTGGACTATACCATTTCACTGTCAGCATTACATTAGCAGTCCATTAATTGATAAAAATTGCTATAGCAGTTTTAAAGGAACACTATAGGGTCAGGAACACAAACATGTATTCCGGAACCTATAGTGTTAAAAACACTATATAACCTCTCTCCCCCCTTAATCCCGTAAATATAGTAAAATATTACCTTTGTTTAAAACACCTGCAGCTGGCTCTGCGCCTGATCTGCCTGCCTGGCTGACATCATCAGAAGTTTTGATCTGAGCCAAGCACAATGCTTTCCCTTAGGAAAAGAGTTGCTGAGACTGTCAATGAGGCAGATCAGGGGCAAAGCCAGCACAAACCAAGCACAGCCCTGGCCAATCAGCATCTCCTCATAGAGATGCAATGAATAAATGCAACTCTATAAGGAAAGCTCAGTGTCTCCATGCAGAGGGTGGAGACACTGAATGGCAGCTCTAGAAAGCACCTCTAGTAGCCATCTGAGAAGTGGCCAGGGAAGGTGTTCCTAGGCTGTAATGTAAGCACTGCCTTGTCTCTGAAAAGACAGTGTTTACTGCAAAAAGCCTGAATGCAATCATTATACTCACCATAACAAATACAATAAGGTGTAGTTGTTCACCAGGGTCCTTGCAAATGCCGATAAGCAAGGTATTTGACCATTTTTATTTATATCTTTTTTTCACATCTATTATATATGAGAAATATTTATTTTTCTTTTATACTAACATTTTAGACTTTGTGTGAAATAATTAAAGTTAAAGGACATGGTATATTATCTAAAGCTTTTCATTTTGCAAAATATTTTTTATAACAGACAAATGAGTAAGTGAAAAAAAATAATTCTGTCAATTTACATAATTTTCATTTTTATATTTGTCTGCAAAGCAATCCATACACAAAATTGCTACTTTGTGCTACATGTTTTTATGCTCTTTATGCATCCCTTGCTTCAAGTAAATAATACTAATATTTTTTTTCTATCAAAAAATGCTTGGTAGTTAAGGGGTTAAAGGCTTGGGTAGCACGGGTGAAATGCTCTGCATTGCACCTTTTATTAGGAAATGAATAATATTTATAAATGAATTTCTAGAGCTGAAATATCATGCATAGATAGTTACCAAAAGCCTTCTGTATTAAAGGAACACTATAGTCATCTAAATTACTTTAGCTAAATAAAGCAGTTTTAGTGTATAGATCATTCCCCTGCAATTTCACTGCTCAATTCACTGTCATTCAGGAGTTAAATCACTCTGTTTCTGTTTATGTAGCCCTAGCCACACCTCCCCTGGCTATGATTGACAGAGCCTGCATGAAAAAAAAAAAACTGGTTTCACTTTCAAACAGATGTAATTTGCCTTAAATAATTGTATCTCAATCTTTAAATTGAACTTTAATCACATACAGGAGGTTCTTGCAGGGGATAAGAAAATCTTAATTAAACAGAACTTGCAATAAAGCAAGCCTAAATAGGGCTCTCTTCACAGGAAGTGTTTATGGAAGGCTGTGCAAGTCACATGCAGAGAGGTGTGACTAGGGTTCATAAAGGGATTTAACTCCTAAATGGCAGAGGATTGAGCAGTGAGGCTGCAGGGGAATGTTCTATACACCAAAACTGCTTCATTAAGCTAAAGTTGTTCAGGTGACTATAGTGTCCCTTTAACTTAATTCCACAAATTGGGGAATAATACAGGTGGGGTTTCATAACTACATACCCTGTACATGGTTTCCATAAACACAAACTGACACCGGGTAAATAAAAAAATTTAATTTTTATTCTTTTGGATCAGTTGTAATGTTGTTTATCGTTTTCCTGCATGCAGTTCACTAATACACTATTTTTCAATAATTTTAGTAAAAGGAGGCATTTTACATTTAAACATTTTGTTTTCTTGTGTAAAAATTAAATGACCCAAAGTGAATGAATAGTAAAATTTGCTCCTTTCAGATTGTGAACAATTATGATAAAAAAAAGTTGTGGATCTAAATTTAAAATGGTTCTGGTGCAGCAATTATTTAACCAACATTCTCAAACAAGCATCAGAAAAAAACAGAAGTACTTCATTGAATGACAGGTCGAAACAGGTATTTTTTTAAAAATACATTATACTAAGCAACTTCTTCATATGGTAGTATAATAGTGGTAACATTTTACACAACTATTTCATACTAGGTTTGTGTGAAAATATATGTATCTATGTGTGTGTGTTTATATGAACACGCACATGGACACGCACACGCACTGATATACGAAATTGAAGACTGCGGCATTAAAATTGCTGTCGAGAAACCATAAACCTGCAGAAGAAAATGGGTTAAGGTATGTTGGGTACAAAATAAAAATAAATAATTTAAATTTTTTATTTTTACAATAGTTTTTCTTTTTTTCTACAAATGTTTGACCACTTATGTTCATAATTAAGCAGATTACAACAGATCTAATTAAATCTGACCGGAGAGCCAACAAGAGCCACTTATATGAACAAATGAAGGAGAGGATTTCTTGAAAATTTAGAAAACCAGACATGTCTAATGTGGAGACTGGATGATTACATTTACTGACCCAAGTTCTTGTATGGCCTAATGTACAGTAGAAAGAACAAAAATGCATTATTAAATACAATTATCATAAAATATAGAGTTACACGGAATTGCAAATTTACATAACACAGGCTGAAATTTTCAAACGTTTATGCTGCAATAAATGTTCTGCAGCCTCGTTTGTCTGTCTGAAAGAGCTAATATCAGCTTAAATGAATATTTACATGTTTACAGTGTATTTTATGGCACGTAACACATCGACCAGTTTGAGATTAGAAGACATATAGAATGCTGCAAAACAAAAGGTAAGTGTTCTCCAAAGATTTATGACTTTATTTAGATTTATTTGGTTTTGTGTTTTTAAAGACATTTTTGTCTCCAAAACTGAAATTGGAAGATCACAACTGAGATTGATCAATTTGTAAAAGAACATTTGTTGCCACAATGCTAAGTCACACAAGAAGTTTTCAAAACGTATACCATGTTGCAAGAACCCAAAGACTGGACAAGCTCTACAACTTCAGTCAAGTTTACCTTATAAACAATATACGTCTTCTAGATGACACTATGTGAGCAACTGAAAATCCTAGATAGCACCACCACAAACACTGTGCTTGTAACACATATTTTGCCCTAGTTTGTGATTTTACATGCATGACCTAGCAGTGAAGCATACATACATGCAGAGCATTGTATAGATTAACTAGACTTGTCAAATAGCTAGAGGACAGTATATGCTTTGCAAAATAAAACATAACTAAAAGGGGAAATATGTCTGTGCATACAGATAAAGAAAGTGGTTGAACTTTAGATTTGACAATAATGAGGTGTCTATATATATATATATTTATATATATATGTAAAACACACTGGTACATTTTTCTGTCCATTTAATATGGAACGTTAGGATTTAATTGCAGATCATGTGCAAGTAAAAAAACAATTCTGCCACCATAACATGGCTATTCTATATTAAGGTGTTTTTGCTATTACAAGACCCCTCTTGCAAGACAGAATAACTTATTTACCATGTATAGTCAACCACTGGATTCTAGATGGTATAAACTTCAGCTCTCATAATGCTGCTATAGACTTCAGTTCTAATAGACAAGAAGCTAAGAATGTAAATCTCACCCCACAATAGTTGGAGTGTCAGAAAAAAAGGCTAAATGTGCAGTTAGAAATTATGATATGGGCCTATCTGATTGGCAATAAAACATATGGTTTAAGGTAGAAGGCATTTATTGAATAATTTTGCATTTGTTTCCTAAATTGGCATATTTTACTGGAAATTGTAAATACATACTATTATTCACTTCACTAGTTCCAACGATTATCTTTTCTTTTGCATTTATGGAAAATAATTGCTTTCAGTTTTACAGCAGAGACTGTTTGAAGGTCACTGTTCCTATCCCCTTAAACTAATTTTCCCTTTAACAGTCAATACTGCACATTTTCACTGCATGTGTGTACCTCACATGACTATTCAATTAATTGTATTTTATTACAAATTTTAAACTAAAATAGCCAAACTGTAAAAATACTTCTATTTACCAGTGTGATGCTTAGCTATTCTGGTCTAAAATTTGCCAGGAAATATCCCTACATTTAATGGTTTACTAACAACCCCGTTAGACTGGGATGGTTGTTTCTAATTTGAGATTGACCATTTTGCCTGTACTAAAGGCAAAGAAAGACTCAGACCATATGCCTTCCTATGATATGTGGGATGCATTACCACTAGCCTGCAGAGGTATTAATTATTTGAGTTTAATAAATATCTAGGCTAGATAAAAAAGTAATAGGCATAACATTAGAACATGGAGTGCATATATGAGAATCACATTGAAAAGGGCAGGAATGTGCATATACATAATTAACAAATGCGAGGCATAAGAACAACAAGAATACTACAACTAACATCACAAAGAAAAAGACACATTACAGCAGTTCATCATTTGAAGTTGCTCACATTCCCACAAAATGTGGATTTCAGATATTTTCTATTTTGCAAGCAAAATTAACATCAGATTTATCAGTTTTGCATCGAGCATTGCATTTTGGTAAATTCTATAGCTGTGTTATGCGAAGCTGTGCTGTGCCAACATGCAATAATCACCAACAGTTTTGCATTTTTACTACATTTTCTTTAAAAAAACAGATTTCTAAGCTTTTTCTTTTTTCAATTAAAATGCATGAGCCACCACCATTTTTAACATAAAGCTCATTTTTAGACTACAACAGATATAAAATATATCCATACTATTCTCTATTAAAACTCTGGCTATAGTACAGTATCTTTTTATATGTCTACATATATTTTGCATCTTTTTTTCTGTTGTGTCAGCTGTGTCTATTTATCTGATATGTTATTATTTATATATATATATATATAAATTTGAAAATATTTAGATTTTTAACATTTCTCTCTATATTATAATTGAATGATTTGTTATTGCTGTTGCTTAGGCATCATTCAAGAAAGCTTGCTAAAGAGTAGGATTGTTGAGATTAAACCAATTTTGTCTTTCACTGTAAGAGTAAAACACACAATTACAAAAAAAATACAATTATTGCAATTTACATCCGAAATACCATTCAATAAAATTGCCTTGCAATGTATTGTTATTGTATGTTACAGTGTCTATGCGTGGATTTGGAAACCGCAGCTATAAAGAGACACTCTAGGTTAGATTCATAATTGCTTTATATCAATAATAAAAATGTCTTACAATAATAATTTTAATCAACTCTTTCTATCTCAGGTTTTCCCAGGAATTTGAGTTGCTTCCTCTAAAGACCACTTGAACCAGGAAATGGCTGAGATTTTTTAGCCACCCTTTGGTATCCTTAATATTCCTGTGCGCAAGTAACCGAATATGCATGCATTTTGACGTACATGCACATCTTCAGTAAGTGAATGTGCACACAAGTGTAATGCAGTTACTTACAGCATTTTATTCACATGGAGAAAAAATCTATACTAGAAAGTGAAACAATGGGATTTGCAAATGCAAAAAGTTTTTAAAAACATGAATTTGTAATTTTCAATTCTTGCTTGTTCAAGTGTGCCTGGTAGTGTTTTACAATTTTTACAAATTTATTGTAAAATTATAGAGTACTGAATTTCATCTACACAATACACTAGTGGACTTCCTAGCAGCTGTATGCATATCTTTCTATGTTGAGAAATGAGTGACAGAAGAGGATAGGAGAACACTTCTATAGTAATTTCTCATTCATTTACAGTCACTCTTAGTCACAGCAACTACAGCAACTACACTGTGGCTACTGTGATTATTCCTCTGGAGAGTGTCTGACTTTGCTAGAGGAATATAGGGAAGGAGTGGCAGATGTCACTCAGTTCAGATATGCATAGGCCGACAATGAAATCAGCAGCGGTCATGAGCACATAGTCCCAAGAAGGGCTAATTGTATTGGAGTGGGACAGAAAGAAAAAGGAACCTGGGGTACATTACACACAAATTCCACAGCAGTGTGGACTGAAGTGTATGTAAATAATGCATTAACATCTCCTAAAATATATAATTCATATTTATGATAAATAATATATTTATTGTTTAAGGAGTTATCAATTCAAGTGAACCTGTCATTACAATATCTTGTATTTATATATACCCTGTCACCTGCAGAAACATATATCTCTAACTTGAACAACGAATATGAATAATTTATATAGTCTTCTATTACGTATGCTTGAGACCACATTTTCTATCAGTGGCACTTCAAATGCCATAATTTATGCTAGTTGCATAGAATATTGTGCATGGTATTTCTGTTGTCCCAATCGCTATTAAAGGACCACTATAGTGCCAGGAAAACATACTCGTTTTCCTGGCACTATAGTGCCCTGAGGGTGCCCCCACCCTCAGGGTCCCCCTCCCGCCCGGCTCTGGAAAGGGGAAAGGGGTTTAAACTTACCTTTTCCAGCCTGGGCGGAGAGCTCTCTGCCTCCTCTCCTCCTCCCTGCCTCAGCTGAATGCGCATCGCGCAACAGCTGCGCTACAAGATTCAGCCGGCCATAGGAAAGCATTTACAATGCTTTCCTATGGATGCTGGAGTGCTCTCACTGTGAAAATCACAGTGAGAAGCAGCGCTTCTAGCGGCTGTCAATGAGACAGCCACTAGAGGATTAGGGGAAGGCTTAACCCATTAATAAACATAGCAGTTTCTTTGAAACTGCTATGTTTATTAAAAAATGGGTTAACCCTAGCTGGACCTGGCACCCAGACCACTTCATTAAGCTGAAGTGGTCTGGGTGCCTAGAGTGGTCCTTTAATTAGATCTGCAGTGATTTGCAAACATTACTGCAGCTATATGCCCACCTCTCTCCTCTATGTCACACAGTCCTAAGTCCTAACATTTACATCAGCAGCCATCAAAACATTATGGAAAAACATTAATGAGCCATTCAGGAAGCTAAAAAAACTTTAAAGGGACACTATAGTCACCTGAACAACTTCAGCTTAATGAGGTTGTTCAGGTGAGAACTATAGCTCCCTGCAGCCTTTCTGAGAAAATACAGTGTTTACATTGAAAGCTAGGAACACCTCCAGTTGCAATCACTCAGAGTGAACCAGGGGGACTTCGGAGTTGATGGAGGCATAATATGCCTCCATCCACTCAGATCTGCTGTCAGCAGAGCTCAGCGCAGCACTGTGCACAGCATCCTGTGATTCAGTATCTCCTCCTTCTGCATGCAGACACTGAACTTTCCTCATAGAGATTCATTGATTCAATTCATCTCTATGAGGAGATGCTGATTGGCCAGGGCTGTGTTTGAATCATGCTGGCTCTGCCCCTGGTCTGCCTCTTTGTCAGTCTCAGCCCATCCTATGGGAAAGCAATGTGATTGGATCAGGCTACCACATGTCAGCAGACTGCTTGTTTTTCTGAGTCTATCAGCATGCAGATTTACAGCTTCTGGCTTGAATACAGTAAGATATTTACTATATTTATGGAGACATGAGGGGCCCAGGGGGGCTAGATGGTGGTGATAACACTATAGGGTCAGGAATATATGTTTGTGTTCCTGACCCTATAGTGATCCTTTAAGGCTGTTTCTATAAGCTAGTTTCATTTATGTTTTTTAATGAATAATAATACTTTAACCAAATTATATATCCTATAGACTCCTGCTCAGCCAGTGTTAAAAGACCACTAAAGTCACCCAGGCCACTTTATCTACATGAAGTGGCCTGCGCGCTGTGATCTTGTAGGCTTAACCCTGCAATTTAAAATATTGCAGTTTTTAGAAAATGCAATGTTCAGATTGCAGGGTTAAACACTCCACCAATGGCTGTTACAGGAACAGTCACTAAAGGTGCTTCGTGCTTCAGTAACCTAGTAAAACTTGGTCACTTGACTGCAGCCCACATAAGAAAGCAGTGATTCTAAGTTTTTCTATGGGGCAACTTGATGCTTGCTGTGCAGGCACAGGCCAATGCTCATCTATGCAATGCCTCTGTGACACCATGGGAGGAGGAGAAGTAAGCAAGGGTGCCTCCACCAAAAAAAAAAAAAGGTAAGTTAATGCTATTTTTTCTTAGCTTCTCATTCTAGTGGTGGGGGACACATCCTATCAAGAGACAGGACAACTAAAGCATTAGGAATACACATTTGTATGGATTATGCATTGTGGTTACAAGATCCCAGCCACTGTCAATGTCAAGTCCATGCAGGACTTGTACTGGACATGGAAAATTCATATGTATCTCTGTTATTTTGTCATTTACTTATTTGTTTTGGCCTTTCTACATTAAGCTCCAATATGTATTAAGCAGACCTTAGGGCCAGGTCTACTTCAGAGTGTCTATTTTTTTTTTTTTACATGTATATGAGAATATTGATTAGTATGTCAGTATGTATTTGAAGATTCTGAGATTTATTTACTAAACAGCTAACATGAGGGATTCTAAAATCTGTTTCTTCAGCTGTTACATAACCAAAGTAGACGGAAAATGTTGGACCCACAAATAAAAAAATAAGCAAAACTATTTGAAAAAAGTACTGTGCTGACTACTAACAAATTTGTATTTATTTTTTTAAATTTCCTTTAAAACTTTTCTAGTTATGTCTTTTTAATTTCAGGGTTATTCACTAAAGTGACTCAAAGTGACTTTCAAATTTAAGTTACAAAGTTGAAAAGAGACATGTCCATCAAGTACAGCCTTTCTCACAAGTGAAAATAGTGGCATAGCTAGAACTTTTTTTTTTGTAATATGCTCACACTATAATAGTTATTTTGTAATAGGCGCCGCTGCACCAGTCACACTGTAACGAATCCAGAGCCGGTGGGCTACACGGAGGTGCTAGCATAGCTCGGCCACGCTATATGAATTGACTGGCAGGAGATGAGTGATGTGCGCTCCCCTCCTGCTGGTCACGTGGACGTTGGGCATTAGGGCACACCACCTGAGGTACACAATGTCCAAATGACTGGCAGGAGGGGAATGCACATCGCTCCTCTCCTGCCAGTCAATTCATGCAGCGTGGTCAGCACTTCCATCCAGCCCAACAGCTCTGGAGCATGTTCGGCTCAGTCCTGTAAATTGCTGTATGGGGCGGACCTCCCCCTCCAGCTTTGCCACTGACTCAACTGTGTTTCCAATTCAGCTACTTTGGCCTTACGTTTGAAATCCACATTCAATTCTCACTTTAGTGAATAACTCTGGTAATGTTGAATGCTGTTTTCTTTGTTATTGTGCGAAGATATAAAGAAAATTAGTAAATGGCGTTTGGAGATTATTAAAGGTCCATTTACTCCAACCATTCAACGAAAAAAACATTTTCTTTATGAAAAAAATTTGTTTTAGTTAGAGTAACCCTTCCTATCCTGGTTTTTCCCGTTCAAAGTTTTTTTGTTTAGTTTTTTTTAAAAAGCATAAACTTACTTCTGTTCCAGTGCTGAGACAAAGTTCTCCCTGCATCCTGATCCTTCTCTGGTGACGTCACTCATAGCTGCTTGGGGGGGAAGAGCTGATGCACATATTTCAAATGTAAGGCTAGAGTTGCTGAAGTGAAAGCAGAGCTGATATAGAGACATTTTCCAATTCAGCTATTTTGATCTTAAATTTGAAATTCACTTTCAGCTCACTTCGAATGAACAATTTAGCAAATAAACCTGTGTGATAAAATGGTCTGTCATCGTACAGGGGGGATATGATAGAAACATTTAAATATATAAAGGGAATCAACACAGTAAAGGAGGAGACTATATTTAAAAGAAGAAAAACTACCACAACAAGAGGACATAGTCTTAAATTAGAGGGACAAAGGTTTAAAAATAATATCAGGAAGTATTACTTTACTGAGAGGGTAGTGGATGCATGGAATAGCCTTCCAGCTGAAGTGGTAGAGGTTAACACAGTAAAGGAGTTTAAGCATGCATGGGATAGGCATAAGGCTATCCTAACTATAAGATAAGGCTAGGGACTAATGAAAGTTTTTAGAAAATTGGGCAGACTAGATGGGCCGAATGGTTCTTATCTGCCGTCACATTCTATGTTTCTATGTTTCTATGTACCATGTGACAAGACCAATACACTTCTGGAGCAATAGCCACTAAATTAAGCAGTAGTGGTTATGATCCTTAGAGTATTCCTTTAAGCTAAAAATGTGGAGATGATTTTGCCAGCAGTGTTATAAGTTGTGGATACTAGTCTAACTTCAACAATTCATATAATAGAAAATACATTCATACTTGTATAGAATATGGGGGAACCAGAATATTGAGCCACAAAGAGTGCATCTTTTCTTTCAGAGTCATATTTAACTTTTCAGAGAGAAAATGTTATGTATTACACATATTAGGGAAACATATAAACCAGAAGAGGTGCAAAACAATAGACACAAAATTTTGTACAGAATAACTGATTGGAAGACTATAATCAAATGTGTCTACAGTGGTTTCTTTTTCTTCAATCCTATATATGACATGATTTCAGGTAGACCTGTCACCAATGCAGTTTACAGCACCACAAGTTAGTTATCAGAATGTTTTATAGCTTGTACTTTTGTTTTTCTATCTGTATACTATGTTTTTTGAAATAGTTATTGCCTATCTTATTTCACCAGGGTCCAGAACAGAGTTCTCCTTTAACCACTAGTCACAAGACAAAAATGATAATCCCTCCTTTTCATATGGTGCAAGCTGATCTGTTTTGGCAAACTTAAACACATAAATGAGATTAAGAGCAATAGTCCCATTTTAAACCAAATATATTTTTTACAAATGTCGGTGATTTACCAGAAATCACAAACAATAGGTAACTTGTAATCATACAAAAGATGTTCTCATCCTTGTAGAAAAGAACAATCACAGATTACCGGAAACCTAAAAGAGTTAATAATTAAGCAGGTATTCAACACATAGTTAAAATATACATATTAAGTTACTTTAAACCATGATGCTCAATACATGGGTTTATTGAACTGTAAATGAACAAACTGAGTCTTAAAGGATGATTTATGGACTATAGCAAAGTAATACTTTATGTTCTAGTAATTCTGCAACATGCAACATTTTTTCATTTGCTTTATTTAAGAGGAAACAAATAATATAGTATCCATTAGCATTTTTCTAGAAAAAGAAAACCAATTTAACAAACACATATTGCATGTTTTTCTTAGTTATTCTTATCCACTTCAACAACAAGCTAATGCAATATGTTTTAATTGGAAAAGGGTCAGCTGTAAGAATCCACTGAAGCTCTAAAAGCTTCCTAAGATATACATCAATCATCCTCACACTCCTATTGGCTGCTGGATTTACCATCATGTTACTATTGGCAACTGTATCACAGACAACACATTAACTGCCTGCAGAGATAACTTGGGTTTCTTGGCAACCTTTCTGTAGAGCAGATTTTATGTATCTTATCTATACTGATTTTGTTTCCAGAAGCAGCACAAACAATAGTTTACGGAGAAACACTTTAAGATAGACATAATTATTCTATATTTCATTTGTCATAGACAAGAATTTTGCAATCACAATTATATAGTTGTAACCATGAATTTAAATCCTTGCCCACAACATGAAAATTAAAAAAAATATTGTATTTAAAAGACACTCTAAGCACCAAAACCACTACATCCTAATGTAGTGGCTTTTGGTGCAAAGTAAAACAGTGTTGTTTCTAAGAACATTTGTATGAAAACATGCCCGTTATGGTCCCACAGCATGATGACACTGAACACGTCTAATGCTTTGGAATAAAGGCTTCTCTATGAGAAGCACTGATTAATGGATTGCGACAATTGGCACAAGTCCTCAATTTGTCACTGTGAGAAGCGTCTGATTGGATAAAAGTAATCAGAATCACCGACTTCACAGGAGGAGGATAGGCTACAGCTATGGGTCTGTTCTGGTGTTAGAAGAAAGGTGTTTTAATAAATTTGTATTGATTTAAAAGAAAAAATAAGGGGTGAAGTAATCTAATATTTCTTAATATCTCAGTGTTCTCCTGTGGTGCATTCATTGCACTGGTTGTATTCTTTATACCAAGATTGAAGTTTCTCTGGTAAAGGACTAACAGCAAATTGCAATAATAGTGTGGCAAACAATGATGATCAGCAATGCTCTCTGAAGTTTGCTGGGAGTAGGAGTGAAGGCTTCTAACAACAACAAAAATACATAATATTTATTATGGCACAGTACTTTGTCAAGCCAGCTCTAAGCCTGCCGTAGATTGGCGAATAATCCAGAACTGTTCATTTTAAAATCTGAAATATCTGTTACTTCTGCAACATGATGATAATGTTTTAAGTGAAATTGTATTACACATGTCCAATGACAAAGCAGATATTAAACAAAAGGACTGAAATCCCTGTAGCTATAATGGTTTTGATTATGTAAATTAATGTAATCTGTCTAGCAATACATATTGTGAATAAAAGACAAACAAATGTGCATTATATATCTGCAAATAAGGTTAAAGCAAGGTTCAATCTGTACTTAATGTAAATGCCAATGAAAAGTAAAAAATTGAAAATACATTAATGATGATGTTATAAAATGTTTGTGTAATAACAGTGCATCAACACTTACCTAGAATTCATGAAAATCTATTCGAATCCCTAGGATGAATCATTAGTTTACGGATGTCATTTTACCAATTGTTTGGTCAAGTATATGAGACCAACTTTGTCATACGTTAAATATTAACATTATATGAACTAATGTGGCATGTACAGTTAGATATGACATTATATAACTACTGTGGCATACACAATTAGAAAGAACTAGATAGATGTCCCAGAACACAAAATAAAAAAAATGAAATCTTAAACACAATGTTAAGACTGAGAAGATAAACTATGAGAATGATTGCACATTATTTTTTAAATATATATTGTTAGCTATAATATGAAATCTTATAACTATTTTAAAGGTCGAACTGTATTCATTAGGTTTGTATCAACCTGTATATACACTGAACGAGAATAAAACAATTTGTACAAGTGTGGCGTATAGTGTATGTCCAAAGGAATATGACTGATATTGTATCTACATTCAAAACTTTTTTTTTGTTACATTAAATGAAAACAAACACTGTCATTTATCATTGAGTAGTTAACATTTTCAAGATACTATCACTTATCTTTTTTTTATCACAGAAATGTAACAATATTTGGTAACATGTTAACATTTGGAATTATGTCAGGTTTGTTCCTTAGCCAACCAACAGTTCTTGTGCATGATTCCCGATGTCCAAATAATTGCAATCATATAGGGAAGACACCAATTTATTGGTAACATTTTTCTCACTGGTGATGTGAATAAATAATGTATTTGTTAAAGCATAATCGTCTATCATAAAATCTCCATGGAATACAGAATCAAGTATCAGTCTGTGATCAACATAATAAAAATTATCTTAAGGAACAGAAACAATTTCCTGTGTGTCCTTTTGTTTTTAATTCATCAGTCCATATAATAGCAGACTTGCTGCAAAGTGACTACCATATATGTCAATAAATGGGATCCGATTGGTGGCACATGTTATGTGCTTGCTTGATATTAGTCAAGAGCTAGGATTGCAACTTTATGCACACCTTTGCTGAGAAGATCTGACATTTCATTCTCCGAATCCAAGCTCTTGCTTTGTTTTTTCGCTTTTAACAGTTGCAGGGCATGTTTATAGACTTTTCCATTAGAATACAATAATTTTCATATTATAAGGATTTTAGTCATATAACACCATACATTTACCATCCATTAGACCCATATCTGTGTCAATAAATTTACATATAAAAAATACAAGAACTTCTTGTTAGGATAAATTGTTTATCATAAGTTCAACCATTAAATATCTTTCGCATTCCTGTGTACAGTATACCTAAAGTGATCTCATCTTAATATATGCACTCCATTATTATTTAACCTTCTCTATTGCCTCATACGTATTTTTATTATTATTTTACAGTAACCTTCATTTACTTTGATATATAATTTCTCTTTTGTACAACTTGAACTTGTAAGATGTGGCTTCATTATAATAGCAACATGGCATACTGGACAAACATATGTGACCTAGTGCTTTCCTATTCCCCAGTCATTTAACAGTAACAAAACAAACAAACAAACAAACTAAAAAAATGGATGTAAGCACACCATCCAATCTGTTGCTATTAGTGGCATGTTGATCATGTGAATATTTTATTTTAGTGACTGAAATTAAGGGTTGCTGAAGGGAATGATGATGCAGAGACATTTTTTTTGTCATCACGCACACGCAGATTTATAACCTTAAACTAGGTTGGATGTGACTCTTTGCTTCCGGCAAGTGACATTGGCTGAATGAACTGATGTCATTTACATTGTCGCATATACAGTGTGTGGTCGTCTCTGTATTTCTTTGACTTTTAATATTTCCTTTCAAAATTTGTACTACATCCCCAACATACTGTAAAACCCATTTACAAAAATAGTCACATATATATAAATAAACAACCTACAAATGAAATAAAAATGGTTATTCCACTAACACATTTTTTGTAAACATATGGTGGTTGAAATGCAAACAGTGGACACAATTATTGTACTACAGTGTTTTATGTGAAACACACAAACATTATAGGTTTGCATTCCTTGACTGGTCCCAACAAACTGAGAAGCCATTATGGCTCTCTGGTTAAGAAGTGTCAACTGATTATGAAAACAGTAACCACCAGTCAAGGTTGTTATACCATCACTTGACAAGAGGTCACTGTCTTATTATAGGCACTGACCTTGAGTACACATATGCAAGAACTGTCAGTTTGGCATAGATCTCCTAGAGGAGTCCTGTTGACACAAACAGGGTCATCTTCACAGGTTGTAAACAATTTATCACACAAATGAAAATGTGCAGTTTTATTTTTTGTTCTCCCTGGTATCTTTGCTTTTGTCCTCTTTTTCCGCTTTGTCCTTTTCATGTTTCTCTTTTTCAGGCTTTGTTACACTATCATAAGATGGAGGTGAAGTCGTTGAAGGAGTCATGTCTGTCTTCTCAGTGGTTGAGTTTCCATTAAGCTTGTCAATACCCATGTCTTCTTTTATAGGCAAGCTATTTACTTCTTTTAGTTTCTCTTTCCTATATAAATATGAGGCTTTTTTAATTGTTTTTCTTAAAAGATAGTTTCTGAAACAACGCTGAATAATAAGGGCAGATAATTCCTCTTGCTTTCGCCGTAAAGTGGAAGTGATCGGCTCATAGGAGACTTTGGAAGGGTTGGATGCCATAAACCGTTCTTCCATTGGCTGCCGCAGAGCATCCATTTCATCACCTTCACCCAATACACGCTTTGTAAATGCAAATAGGATGTCAAGGCAGTGAATTCTGTCACCACTTACCATAGGGAGATCCATCGCAATAAGCTGGACTTTGTTTGGTTTTGCTATACGAAGGGGTGGGTCAAGTGCATCAGCAAAATCAGATAACTTGCTGTACTCTATAAACTGGGTTGCGTCTGGGTCAAACTTTTCCCAAACCTCATAGAACATTTCAAAGTCATCCTCTCCCAATGGTTCTGCGCTTTCTTCAGTAGCAACACTGAAGTTTTCTAAAATAACTGCAATATACATGTTTACCACGACCAGGAAAGATATTATAATATAACTAACAAAAAAGAAAATCCCGACTGATGGATTACCACAATCTCCTTTTACAGAGCTCCCCGGGTTATCTAAGTATGGATCACAGTCTGGCGCCCCGCTATTGAGAATTGGTGCCAATAAACCATCCCACCCAGCAGATGTTGTAATCTGGAACAAACAGATCATACTATTTCCAAACGTCTCAAAGTTGAACATATCATCAATCCCAGCTTCCTTCTTAACATAGGCGAAGTTAGACATTCCAAATATGGCATAAATGAACATAACCAAGAAGAGCAGGAGGCCAATGTTGAACAAAGCTGGGAGTGACATCATCAAGGCAAATAGCAATGTACGAATCCCCTTTGCTCCTTTAATCAGACGCAGGATACGACCAATCCTAGCAAGTCTTATAACTCTGAATAATGTCGGTGAAACAAAATAATTTTCAATCATATCCGCAAGAAACATACCTGTGATAAATAAGAAAAACACGTTAAAGTAGCATAAAATGTAATGCAATGTACATAATGCAGATTTAACAATGTATACATACATTCATATATTTTAGATTAATCCGGGTAATAGTTTTAAAAGATCCACCCATGTTTGTGCAAACTATTTTTCTTATTTCATCTTAGAATTTTACAATTGCACAGGAATCTATGATTCTGTTCTGCAGGGGTCTTGTTTTGTCTTATAGAGTTTTGACCAGCAAGATTTTGTTGGATAAGAAGTATATCCTCAATATCAGTTCCACTCGTTATTTGGGATTAGTGTAGGTGCCCTATATTGTCTTATCAGTGCTTTTTAAGGTATTTTTCTTTTTGTAATGTAGACTTGCATACTTACTTTACATGGAAGCAAACATTCATAAATTGATTATTATGTGTTGCAATTGTCAGAATAAATTGATATATGAACAAACTGACCAAACAACACATTGTAAGGCCAACAAACTTCAGTCATGCAATTTATTCCTCAGTAAATTTTTAATTCTTTTGATCAGAGTTGTACCTAAGTCATATGTATATTGGCAGCCCCTTCAATGTTGAACTTTTATTTACACAGTTAGTTGTAAAAAGACACATACACACAGACGCATGCAGTCACATGCATACCCTATGTCACATACAGTCACAAGCACTCAGTAACACATACAAAAACACACTGTGAAACAAAAAGTCATGCACACAGCGACAGGCACACAGTCACAGGCTCATAGTCACACTCAGCCAAAGGCGCAGACAGTCACATAGTCAAACATGCGGTCTCAGGCACACACACAGAATCACACACGGTTACATGGCACAAAGGCAGGTCAGCAAGTCTCCAAGGAGGCGGGGAGGGCATGACCAGAATTAAAGTCCCTGGATTCTAGTAGTTTGGGAAACAGGGATTCTATCCTGCTTGCCTATAAGCTTGGTTATCAGCCAGCAGGTGTTGGTAGCAAATAACTCCACCCCCTGCCTGTTTAATTGTTGCAGCTGGGCTCCATTCCTTTTAGACCTGGGTGAAGAAAAATAAAATCCTCTACTTGGGCTGTCACCTTACAAAAAGGAGGGTATCTCAAATTTAGCTGAAATACTTGTCTTGATAATGGGAATATCTACGTATATTTAGGTTCCAGGAAGCAGAGCATATGAGAGCCCACAGTAGGGTACAAAGTCATTTGCTTTACATACCAGGATGATAAAGTAGGGAAGAGAGTTGTTTTTGGCATTTTGATATCAACTCCCGTAGACAAACTTACTCCTTGCTCTAGAAGGTCTTTGCAGTGTTGAAAACACT